TGAGAGGGCTGTCCCTTTATCAACAGGTCCTGATGCAAACTGCAAGAGAGGGACTCCGCCAGCGGCACATTCACCGTGGCGGCGGGCGGCTGGACGTCGCATGCCAGAAGACCGCGGTTCCGCAGGTTGAGAGGGCTTGAAGGCCGCCTCCATTTCTGCATGGTACGGTTGCTTCGTCTGGTTGCCACGTACCCGGTGGTTGGGGTTTTGAATCCCTTAAGTTGTTGTGCGTTTTTGCGAGACCCTCTGGCACGGCGGTGAACGCTGGCTTGATCCCCCCTGGTGTTGGTTCTTATTTCGTTTCCCCTTCTTCCGTACGAGAAAAGCACAGGACGGGCCGACCTCGCTCGAACTAACAGGACGACGACGTGGTGCTGTGTCCTTTCTCCTGTAGACGTGCTGCCGAGGGATCTGCGCTAAAAGGCAGACCGTGTTGTAGTGGCCGAACTTTATTGGCGGTGTTTACTTGCAGTGGGTGGGCCTATTCAGCGTTGATGGCAAGTCCGAAGATTCCCCACCCAGGAGGATCGTATGGGTGGAATGGCACCCGCCCAGTCGAGATGGATTCTGTTATAGGCCTGAGTTCAGGGGCACGAGGTTACTGGATGGGACACTGGAGGATTTAACAGTGGAAAACTAAGCCGTTGAAGGTTGGAGAGGGTGTCTCTGTCTTAAAAGACCCCGACCCTCTTGTGGCTCCCTTCAATGGAGGGGTGGGTTCTATCAGTAGAATGGACTGTTGAGATGTAGGCTTCCAGCTGAATGGGTTGAATGTAGATTGACACAATTCTTGATAATCCCGTACAACATGAACATAACACTGCCGCCCGGATGCAGGGACGGAACGAGTTGGACCTCGCTGCACGTCAGCGGGACGCGTTGCTCTCGGTAAGCGTATGCCCTGGCTCAATGAAGCTCAGAAGGCAGGCACATAAGGCTTTTTTCCCCTGATGGAGTGTCCACACTCATAACCCTAAGAGCGACCCTCAGCGTTTAACTATAATGACGAGGCGAGAAGCCAAGGAGTCCTGAGAATAGTTGATGCAGACTAAGACGTAGTTACTCTCCTTCTTCTCAACAACCTGGGGATAAAATGTACCCTCAGGCTGCCTTGAGAACGATACTGGGCTCACGCTACAGATATCAGGTCCTGGAGGGAGAAACTACGAGTGTCTCAATTATCTCCATCAGTTGAGTCAAGGAGCCTAAACCCAACAGCATTCCACCCCTGAAATACAAGGAGGAGAAGGCAGAGTCAGTCTGACTGAAATCCAGTCTTCTTCGATAATCATGATCCCTGGAGTCTTTCTACTCTTTATAAGGGGAACAGAAAGTTCACTCGAAACTTTTAAGTATCGAACCAATAGTGAAAAGTTAACTGCCTCTCCTTACCTGTCTGGTTTATGTGAGCGGATTTAGCAAGTGCCGGTGTTTTTGAAGAGGTTAGAAAAGAAGTATAGTGTCTTTAAACAAAGCGTGGGGTACACCAGTACGTGGAGCATTATTAAGTGATCTGTGTTGTTTTCTATTGTATATTTTTAATTGGGCTTTAATTAAGCAAAAGTATGTTTTATCCGATTAATCGATGGAATATTCGAATATATATATATATTCAAAAGATTGGGGCTTGTGCAACTAAAATGAGGGTAAAGGTGAGGAAAGTCTGTATGTACGGTACTAAGATGGAAGGATGAGAGTTGAGGAACATAAAGGAAGAAGGAGGAGAAGGAGGAGGAGGAGGATGCAGAGGAGAGATGGCCTCCAGCCAAGGGCTCTGCAGTAAAGTTACATAACAGCAGTTTGCCTGCAGAAACCCGCTTCGTTAGTTTCATTCAGCTGTGAGACGATGGGTTTGTTTTCAGATGCCACAGCAGGGAACTTTTTCTACAGCAGATGTGAGTTTTCTACGGCTGACGCAGACGCTCGTCACTGGGCAGCATTCAAAGTCAATTTGACTTCGGTGTTTTGTGCAGGTGGGTGCAAAAATAAAAAACAAGAACCCAGAACCAACAAGTGTAATACAGTTAAAACACACAGCGACAGGCTCGAAACAAAGCAGTTTGTGCAATCTGCTACACCAGTACTGAGCCTCCTGAGGCCATGACCACCTCCACTGCACCTCATACATCACTGTCTGTGTCCGTGTACGTGTGTGCTTTTCATAATTGGCTGGATTTGCAGACAAAGCAGTACGGCTGTGACATTGAGACCAGAGGTTGCTCTCTGTGTAGGGAAGACGAGAAATGCATATTTCATACGTTCATTCAGCCCGTCGCCTTCCATTGAGGGTTAAACGCCTTTTTAATTTTTAATTTTTAAGGTGTTTTGAGGGCGAGTTCACTGGACGGTGACAGGGACTTTTGTGGTGAGAGGAGGAGGCTTCGATCTGACAGAAAATGATCCGCAAACTCATTTAAAAAATGTGCATGTTCAGGATATAATACCCCCGTTTATTTATATATATATATAACCAGCCTTTTCTCCTCTTTTTCTGTCAGTCTCTCTGTCTACACCTTCCTCCCCACCATCCATATGCAACGAGAAGATCATTAAATATCTATGACCAGTCATACATGTTCACTGTTGTGTGTGTATAAGCTGAGGATTAGGATTCGCTCAAAATAATGGCATTTTCGTGTTAAAAATCCAAGGTTTTTTAATTCATTACGTCTTTTTAAAATCTCAGTGCTTTGCCACAGAGCAGGATTTGTAGTATCTTGATGTAAAATATCTCAAATCAACACACGCAGCTTGAAGCTTTTAATCTCTCGCAGAGTAACGGGATTAAAATGCAGTCCCACGGCTTGTTTGTCGACAGTCAAAGAGGGTAAACATCCCTTAAACTTATTTTAAAAAAGGCTCTTTTTAAGTGAAAATGTAGCCTTAAAGTATTCTGATATGTTATTACATCTTTAGGAAACAAAGAGGCACAGGAAGTGTGAACGCATGAATGAAATTATAGCTCGTTTTGTGAGCTCATTCTTCCTTCCCTCTCTTTCTCTTTCTCTCCCGGGACAATCGAGGTGGCAGATTTGGTGACGAACAACAAGAATCTCTGTCTTCTGATTGGCTCATTCTCCTCTCAGCGTAACCTGTTATATTCATCCGTTACTGCACCGTAGCTCAGCCTCCCCCCTCCTCTTCTTTCTCTCTCTCTCCCTCTCTCCCCGCCTCCGTCACCTCCCTCCTCCGCTGGTTCTGCCTGGTGAGTGTGTGGAGGAGAAGCGGATTAACACACACACACACACACACACACACACACACACACGCGCAGACAGACACACACTGAGCCATGTGGGCTGGAGCGCTCACCTACACGAGACCGAGAGACGGGAATGCACATTCTGCCGCATCAGTCCGGTTTGAGGGATTTTGGGCATTTCAAGATCGTTTTAAGTGAACTTTTTTCCCACAATTTCATATTTTCTTTATCCCAAGACTGTTTTTTTTAATGTATTTATTGGAGTCTGGCTTTTTGTTTTTGTTTTTTGGAATTGCACCACGCAGCCAGCATCAGTATGCAGAGCTGATCTGATTGGCTGATCTTTGTGGTGCTAAGACGGCAGGATTGGTCCCGTTTTGGCTCCTCGGTTTGGGTTGTTGTTGTTGTCAGATGGAGATTTGAAGTGATTTGAGACTCTAGTTGTTTTCTACTTATTGCTTTTTCTATTGATTAGCCAGGGCATTTTTTTATCGGTTTTATATCCATAGTCTGATTGATCTCCAGTGTGAGTTAAATTCACACCAAAACTACAATCCCACCATGCCGAGCAGAGAGTCGTACATCGTTAAAAGAGGTAAAAAGCAATCACGCCGGCGAGCTGAGAAGGAGACGGGTCAGAGGTCTTTGTTTACCACGGCTCTCGGTTTAAATGTCAGCGCTGGTTCAATTCCCTCCCTGCCAGTCTCCGGCAGCCCCTCGGACCCCGGCAAGGGCTCAGCAACCCGTCTCGACCGGGCGCCGGCCCCCCCTAAACCCACCTCCCCTGCTTCCACCTTCTGGCAACCAATCAGATCTTTTGCCCTTTCGCAGCTCACGTCGCTGGTGCGCCGGGCCACCCTGAGGGAGAGCGACTTGGCGCCCAAGTACGAGAAGGTCCACAACTTCAAGGTGAGTCGCCCCCCGTTTATGTGTGTGTGTGTGTGACGCCAGAACCGCTGATTCAGCTCATGAGGTCTTATTCAAATTCACCTCAGAGAGCACAGAGCGTTAGGACACACACACACACACAGAGAAACACACATTTCTGCATTTACATTTCAGGCTTTAAGCTTCTGTTTAGATCCCCAGATTTCCATATTACAAGGAGCCATTAGTGAGGAGCACAAAGGTCAGAGCCGCAGTGTACCGAGCTCAAGGGAAACATGGACCAACACACACACACACACACACACAAAGAGCGCTGTGATGTGATGGAGGTTATTAGCATTTCATTATATAGAGTCAATTTATGCAATACATGAGCAGATTAACACCGTTCTGCCTGTAATTATTCTATAAATGTCCTTTCAGCACTCCTATTGTGTCTCCATCATTCTGATTATTGCTGGTATTCAAGTACTTGACCCAGTCTGGATTATATTAATGTATTCTCACCTTTCCTTCTCAGTGTATACCTGTGCAAATAAAGCATTTTTGCTACAGTTAATTGTTTTTTTTCCCATTTATTATTTATTTATTACCTTTTTTTTGTGAATTCTGTGACAAACTTACATTTTTAAAAGAGCCTTTTAACATTAAATGTCCCCTTTTTCTCTCTCTGTCTCTTAAACCAGGTTCATACATTCAGAGGCCCCCACTGGTGTGAGTACTGTGCCAACTTCATGTGGGGTCTCATCGCTCAGGGAGTCAAGTGTGCAGGTAACACACACACACACACACACACACACACACACCAGTGTTTAATGGACTTCTCTCCAGCTCTGGTCTCAGTAATCTGATCAATTTCTGTTCCTATTCGCCTCCTCTCCTCTCTCTCGAGCCGTGACTCGAAAGTGGGACAGCAGGCTTAAAGTTAGTCACTTTTGCTGTTGAGTCATCTGCGGTGATTTTAAATGTTAAAAATCCAATTTGGTGCCAAAGAACACGCTGTCAGTGTGATTATTACTGTGTGCGTGGGTGATGAACTGTGCCTCCGCAACGCCTACGCTTAAAGGCTACTTTTACCATCCAATGTGGTTATTATGCTTTAAGTAGCAGATCTTTACGGGCAGAATTATGTTATCCTGACATTGCTGTTGGGTCTTTGGGTGTAAAACGATCAATTGTTTTTTAAAATAACTCAAATTCCCTTTCCTGATCTGTGTTTCTCGGTCAGACTGCGGCTTGAACGTCCACAAGCAGTGCTCCAAAGTCGTGCCGAACGACTGCCAGCCAGACCTGCGGCACGTCAAGAAGGTGTACAGCTGCGACCTGACCACGCTGGTCAAAGCCCACAACACCAAGAGACCCATGGTGGTCGACATGTGCATACAGGAACTCGAGGCTAGAGGTGAGCGGGAGAAAAATCAGAGTGGGTATATGTGTGCGGGTGAGTCAGTGGTTATATAATGTTGAAAAATAAAAGCTTGTACTGTTCACAGCCTCCTCCTCTTTGTTTATATATTGCCTGTGTCTTCTTCGGTTTAATTAACGTAAGCTGCTCCACTGCCACAACCGCAAAGAAGCCATTATCACAAACACATTGTCGTATATCAACATTCATTTATAGAATAATCAGCAGGACTGTCTTAAAAAAAGAGGGCTGCATGATTATTCAGATTTTTCCCAGATTAACTGATTGTAACGTCATAAAATAGTAAAAGAAAATGCTTCTTACATTTCTTCTTTTGTCAAACCAAGAGTCAAAAACTCAAAAATGTTCAATTTATAGTGACAGAAGACAAAGAAAATATGCAATTATTGGAATTGAAGGTGGAATTTATTCGTCTTTGATTAAAACACATTTATCCATTAACTCCTCTCATCATGTCTCAGGTCTCCAGTCGGAGGGTTTGTACAGAATATCAGGCTTCAGTGAGCTGATCGAAGATGTCAAGCTGGCCTTTGACAGAGGTGAGGATCAGTGCAAGATCAATAAATCATCTGCAGCTGTCTCTCTCTGAAAATAACTGATTGTTGGGTTGATCCGTTGCTCCACAGATGGAGAGAAGGCTGATATCTCCACAAACGCTTACGAGGACATCAACATCATCACTGGAGCCCTCAAACTCTACTTCAGAGAGCTGCCTATACCGCTCATCACATATGATGCCCACCCACGCTTCATAGACGCTGCAAGTAGGTCTCCGCGCTTTCTTTACCTTTTATTACATAAGACGCAACAATGAATGGTTTTAGACGCCAAGCTGGGCTCTGAAGGCAGCGTGCTACAAATCAAGAAGAGACGTGGGTAAAATGTGTTTGTTCCGGTCATTTTCTTTCAATTTTCAGTGATGCAATCCTAAGAAACACTCAGATATCAGATAGCCTGTGTATGTTCAGAGCTCCTCCAACACTTGTCCTTTTTAATCTGTTCATTTTTGTGTCTGTTGCAGAGATTTCAGACCCAGAAAAACGTCTGGAGGCTCTCCATGAGGCCTTGAAGCTGCTGCCGCCAGCTCACTGCGAGACGCTGCGATACCTCATGGCTCACCTCAAGAGGTCTGAACGCCGTTTCACTGAATCGCGAGCTTCAGTTGTGATTGCTAAGTTGTTTTAACATTCAGTATTTCAGTTTTGTGTTCAGAAGGACTTACTTTAAACCCTCTCTCCGTCCAGAGTGACCCAGCACGAGAAGGATAACCTCATGTCAAGCGAGAACCTGGGAATCGTCTTCGGCCCGACGCTGATGAGGGCCCCCGAGCTGGACGCCATGACGGCGCTCAACGACATCCGATACCAGAGACTTGTGGTGGAAACGCTCATCACCAACGAAGACGTGTTGTTCTGAGAGGAGAGGTAGAGGAAGGACACACAGGTTGGGAAGGAGCTCGTACGCTTTGTCCTCCGCCTCTGAAAAGACGGACAGAAAAAGTGACTTTTTACAAGAAAATGAAGGAAAAAAAACATGCAAGATACCTGAAACATGCGTCTTGCTAGAGAGGTCAAAAAGTACCATACCTGTTTTTTTTGTTTGTTTTTTAGGAGCGGATGGAAGGAGCGATGAAGGGAAACGACTATTTGCAAAGAAGGAAGGATGAAGTGTTTCCCCCACATTTTAAATGCAAAACTCAGTCAAAAGATAACATTTTTTCATTTGTTATAACTACAAAAACTAATATACTGGAACACTTAATATTTGGAAGGACAATTTCCAGCCTTATTTGATATAAATAAACAATTATTATCTCTTTTGATGATTGTTCTGTATCATAAGGAGAAAATAATAGCAGTGTTGCAGCAGCACTACTTTCTCTGTGTCGGGGAAACACTGATCCATGTGTATGTTAATATCTTCTCTTTCTTAAATGGATGCCTTGACAGTTTTAATAAGACTTATTTTAGGTCTGACTGGATTCAAATTAAAATCAGTTTTCAGTGTGAAATGCAACAAAGCTGCTTTCTAATCAGTGTAGTGACTAAAGTTTTGCTTCAAGGCTCTGCGTCGAGGTGTCCCTTGAATCCTCCTTGGGAGAAGAAGAAGAAGCACTGACTTCAGTAGACAGCTGGATGAATGAATGAATGGAAAAAGTGAATCACTCATTCCTCCGAAGGGAACTTAAGTGACTTGGACCTATTGTGTTTTCATTCCTCCTCTTTTTTTAAAACTCTTTACTTCACAGCTCCCTCTTCTGTTCCTCTGGCTGAAAATGTAATTATACAGTGACCTTAACACTAACAACTAAGTAGTCACTAACATAGAAATAATCCCTTTTTTCATGTCGTGTTTTAAGCTTTTGTTTAAAGAAGTATTTTTCTAGTCGTGTTGCTGTATGATTACATCCAATAATGGAACCAAATGAGCTGTAAATTAAACGGTTTAAACACTTTTTCCTCACTGTTTTTGAACCAATCGTGTGTTCTCTCACTTCGCCTCTGAGGGTGAAAACCTGCAGAGGAAGCGTTTCAGATCTGATTTAGACGTCTTCAGACGGTGGAGAGAGGAACACATCATAAGTGACTTGAAAGATAAACATGTGAAGCGTTGTTTTGTCATTTGTATGAAGCGGTATTGTAATTAACAAGCAGATGCTAAAAATACTAATTGAAGCTCTTGATCGCGTGCCCGAATGCAATCCCAGCAGAGTGAAACACACAAATCATTTTATTGGCCCGAGCGGGAATAATGCAGACACTCAAAGCGTCAAATAACACCTTGTTTGAATTTTGACATCCTGTCGCTACCCAAAAATAAAAGCAGAGGCGCTCAACACAACAATAACTCGTAATGTTAATCACTCTGTGTCAGTGATTGTAATTAAAGCGGTAGCTGTCGGCATTGTCGGTTTAAAAAGAAACTGTGAAATCGTGAGAAATAATATAGCTCACGCACGAGTAAAGCCGTTTTTATTTAATTATTCGACTGTTTTTTTTCCTTGAAAAGTGTTGGGTTGGGGTAGAAACGGATGCATTAGCCCCCTCTTTGTTCATTTCTGCCCCCACTTCTGTCGGGGGTCACTGATTACCTTTTGCAAAGCAGCAAAGACACAGTTGTAGAAAAAAAATGAAGCGCACCCCCGCTCCTCGCTGCGTTGGGTGTAACATGAACGTAACATTTTTCTAAACATATGTTTTTCATGTGTTTATTTGAACTGTTTTGTTGACGACATGTTGTTTATTCCTCTCTGTTGATCTAACCGTGTACTAACTACCACTTGCGAGGCTTCAGTGATCTGTGATTCTTGCTTTCTTATCATAAAATGTTGTTTTTTTTTTTAAACGTCATTGCTGTAAAGTATTTTCTATATGGTTTATGCATGGTGAAATTAAATTATTAAATATGCCTCTCAGTTTAATTTTGTTCCTCTTCTGTCTCTCCAGATACACATCCTGCTTTATATACGCTGCACGATAGGGTAAAAACATCATATTGTGATTATTTTGACAGATGTATGATTAATGATTAGTGCGGGAATGATCGCTTTCGCATCTCAAATTTAATTTACACCCAAAAAAACTGATTTAAAATCGTCATGATGTGAAATTCTGCACCAACGTACAAATCTGCATCTCTTCAGAACTACACTGCTTCATTATAATGCTGTTCTGTCACACATATACCTTCATCAAAACATCGCAGAGTCTGTGATTAGCATATTGCACTTGGCTATAGTAGAATTTCGGTAATATTTCTTTTAACTGTGCAGCCCGAGTTTAATTTGTATACTTAGTAGAGCCCGAATGAGGGAAAACTATCCAGTGTTTCGCAAAGAAAAGTCAGAAAATACCTTTTTTCCTGAAGGGACCCGTTACTATCATTGAGTAAGTGACATATATTATGTATATTTCATATTATATGCCTCATAAACAGTGAAAAATGCTAAAAGTTTGTGCAAAAAATGCATTTGGATTCATTTTGAGCCGATTATTTCCTGTAAATATTGTTTTTTTTTAGTAAAGTAAGTAAGTAAAGTTTA